GGGATTATTGATAGCAAAGTTTATGGATGGGCTGCATCTTAAAACCAAAATACATTACCCAAAATCAATGTTGCTGTATATGGGAGAGAGAGGACAGGAAAGGTCAGCCGAGATAAGAATACGGAAATTCAAACTCCAAGAGGAACTGAGCATTAAAATAAATAAATTTTGAAAGTGAGTTCCAGGAACAACATTCACTTAGGGCTGTAATTTAAGGGCGCTTTCACGAGAGGCTGGGCAGGCTTTTTAAATGGCAGTTTTTAAAGTACCTCTGAGAGTCCAGTGATTCCATCCACGAAATGGCATTGATGGGCGCAGCATACCCCAACCTGCGGTGTGATAATAACAGCTCCCAATGCAAGCCTCAGGCACAGCCAACCGGGCAGGGCAGGTAAACCGAGGCCCACCGGCAACATTACAGGTGGGTTCGCCACCAGGCCCCTCACACAGCCGCATTTCAGGGAGGGAAGGGACAACCTTGTCAGGACCCACTGATGAGCAAACAGGACTAGAAACAGCACAGTTGTGAAATGTCCTCCCACATCCATCAGCAGGAAGCCTGCTTCACTTCACACACCTAGACTCATTCTAAACAGAGTATCTTACAGGAGCCTGAGGGAAACTCACAGTTGGTCAGGCTGAATGGCTGTGTCCTCAGAGACAAGCCCAGCTTCTCCCTTTGGGAAAAGAAACATTCACGCTCCATCTGTAGACGCTCTCTGTAGAGCCTCCAACTCAGAGACTGCCAGGTCCCATGAGGACAAAGTGAGAAGGAAACAGCTCCCTTGCAGGGAGGGAGAGGCCAGGCATTGGCGGTCCTCTGGCTTCAGCTCACTGGTCCTCTAACTAGACCCATGTTTTTCAACTTTTTTTTAATCTCATGGCGCACTTGAACCTATAGTTAAACTTTTACAGCACACTTAAATTATGTTGATCAAAAACCAAGAGTAAAATAAAAGATTTTACTTACTGTGCTTTGAACTTCTTTTGAAAACAATTTAATGAGTGATCTTTAAAAAAGTTTGCAGCACCTCTAAGATCCTCTCAACCAGTTGAAAACCACTGAACTAGGCTCTGCACCCCTAGCTCAGTGTGTAGGGCGCCAGCCACATACACTGGGGCTGGCGGATCCGAAGCTGTCCCAGGCCAGCTAAAACACCAATGACAATTACAACAAAAAAAATAGCTGGGTGTTGAGGCAGGCACCTATAGTCCCAGCTACTTGGGAGGCTGAGGCAAGAGGATTGCTTAAGCCCAAGAGCTGGGAGTTGCTGTGAGCTGTGATGCCACAGCACTCTACCAAGGGCGACAAAGTGAGACTCTGTCTCAAAGAAAAAAAAGAAAGAAAGAAAGAAAAAGAAAATCACTGAACTAAATAAAGCTGTAAGTCAAAGAGGCAAAGGTCACTGTCCTGCCCACTGGGAAACCTCCAGCAAAGAGGGGGACAAAGTGCGCCTCCCAACAGTGTTCCCAGCTCAGTACTTACTGTGCCCTAACTATGAGTCAGGCCCAGCTGGAAGTTAAAGACCCAGGGGGAAAGGTTCGACTCCCATCTCACAGCCTACAAGAGGAGGCAGAAAGGAAAACAACCCTTTCAAGACAGAGCTGAAAAGGCAAGGGGGAGAGTGCACATCTATCTCAGGCTGCTCCTGGCAGCTATCAGTCAAGGCAGGGTTGCTTTCTATACCAACTCCAGGTATGGGGAGCAGAGTCTTCTGGAGGAGAAAGGAGTTGGGTATTTTGGATCGGATCTGGGACCCCAAAGTAAGACAGACCTGGGCTGAAGCATTACCTGGCTACTTACTGGCTGTGTGACCTTGGGCAAATTCCATAAGCTCTCTGAGCTTCAGCCATTTCATCCATAAAATTACGTGAAATCACAATGTGTACCCTCCAGAGTTGTTACAGAGGTAGATGAGCTCATTCGTTTACTCGACAAATATTTCCTGAGCTCATACCCTGTGTTAGACCCTGTTCTAGGTGTATCTGGAGACACAGTGGGGAACAAAGCAGGCAAAGACTTCTACAGATCTTGAACAAGAAACAAGATAAATAAGGAGACTGTACCATATGGCTGGAAGGCGGTTAGGGCAAAGGAGAAATAAAAAAGGGAAGCCTGGTGCGGGCCTGGGAGGGCTGGGTGGTCCAAGTGGACCTCAACAAGAAGGTGACTTCTCAACAAAAGCCAGAATATCATGGAGAGGAGAAAATCAGCCGCATGGCGCAGCTGGTGCAAGGGCCCTGGGGTAGGAGCATCCCAGTGTGCTGCACTGTAGGAAGGAGGACAGTGTGGCTAGAGGAGTGTAAGACAGGGAAGAGGAGGAAACAGAGGCAGAGGGGCAAAACTGATCATTTGACCTTGTCAGCCCCTGCAAGGCCCTTGGTGTTCACACTGAGCGAAACGGGAGCCACCGCCGGGTTTTCATGGCACAAGGGTGATCCAATTTCTGAGAGAAAAATCTCTCAGTGGTCAGGCCGAGAGTTAATGCAAGCAAAAGTGTGTAACCAATGCCTAGCACATGAAAAGCATGTGAAAACATGCTATCACCCTTCTCAGTAACAATACCAGCTCAGGTAGTAAGCAAGAAACACTTCACCCCCACAAGATGGCACAGGGTATAGGAGGCCCACAAACCTCAAAGGTAACCAAGGTGTAACTCCTGATGGCTGGAGGAATTCTCCCCTGCACTTCCCAGATCACTGGGCATTAGCCTCTACTTGGATCTGGTACCTGGAAAGGAGACGCGGCCTGCTCCAGGCGGCTGCACAGTGGGCTAGCTCCTGCCATCAGAACCCTGCTAGGAATCGCTGGCCAAATGAAATCTCTCCTGGAATCCCACCACCATCCTGCGTCTGTGCAGCATGGCGCAAGTCTGCCCTCTCCCTTCAGAAGCTGAAGACAGCAATAGGCCCCTGCAGGGTCTTACATCCAAAGGGGTGCGATGGTGTTTCTAAGGGCAAGTGGAATTTTTAAGGAAACGTTCATGGCCAGGGCTGATGAAGTACCAGAGCTGGCACCTGCCTCTTTGAGGCCCTAGAGGGGAACGCCAGGGGAAAAAGGAGGTCCTACACATTCCCCCTGTTCCTAGCTGGAAATCTGCGCACAAGGCTTAATAAATGAGAAACAGCAGTCCAGGGAGCAGCAGTGATTCCTCACCACAGATGAGGAAACTGAAACCCTGGCTCAGTAGGTGAGAGGGCACTGCCCTGGGGCACTTGCACCTCCCTGGTGAAGATGACTTGAGGACTACTGGCTTCTCTGAGGCTGTGTCAGAGGCAGCCTGGGCCAAGTGGCTGCTGGAAAGTATTTTCCCTCTCGGTTTCCTTCTCAGCTCCCTGGGAACCCTCTGGCGATGCTTCGGGAGGTTGGCGAGCAGGGAAGGCAGACACGTGAATCTACCGCGCTGCCCCACCCCAACCTCAGCTCAGAGGTGGGGCGCAGGGTTAGGGACAGAGATACTTAACGTCACCGGCTGGAAACTCCCAGAGGAAGGGGAAGAGGAGAGTCCCACAGCTCAGTGCCCATAGTACTATAGACTGGTCTGAACCACTTGTCCACTCTCAGGTTCAGAGACCTCTCTGCGCTTTCTCAGATGGCTTGGGAGGGAGCAGGCTCCAGTGAAGGCTGGGGGAGGTACCGGGATGCAGGGTCTGCCAGAGCGGGGAGTGGGTTCCAGAACACGGATACAAACTCAACCTCCACCTCCGGCTGCCTCAGGGATCCCCCTTTGCACCGAGTAAAGTGGAGGCCGCCACCAGCAAAGAGCGCAAGGAGACGCAGGGACCCCGCCCCCGCCTGGAAAACCTCCCGGGCCCTTGAGTCGTGCCCGGCGCTCCCCACCCCACCCCTCCGCCTCTGCTGTCACTCACGGCCGCTGCTGGCTGGCTCGCTGGTGCGCTCTCCGCACCTCAGGCACCTGCTCGCAGGGCGCTGGGCGGGCGCTCACTTCTTGCTCCCATACCGCAGACTCCCAGCATCGCCGCCGTCACCCAGCCTCGTCCCCGGCCCGGCACAGAGTTCCGCCCTTCTCCCCGCCACCCGCCCGCCATGGCCCGGGCCTCGGCCAAAGAGCGGTGCAGCTCACTGCCCTAACTGGGGTAAGGAGTTCGGGGCTGGGAGCTGCAGAAAGGACCGCGGGACACGCGGGGAAACAGGATGAGCGGCCGTTTGGAGCGATGGAGGCTGGGAAGATGCCAGAGAGAGTTTGGGTGGGAGGACCCCCCAACCAAAGCTGGGGCGGGGAGGGGCGGCGCGATCCAACCCGAGAGATGGTGGTCCTGGGAGCGACCCTAGCGGGGAGAGGGGGCGCTCTCTGGGGTGGGGGCCGTGCGGGCCGTGGCAGGAGAGAGGAGGGCGGGGGTGATGCAGTGGCGGAGGCACCCAGCCACTGACCGCCCCCTCCCTCCTTTCCCCTCCCCCTCTCCCCGCCTCTCTCCGGCTCCCGGGCCGCCACGCCGGATCCGCTCTCTCCGCGCTACGCTGGGTCGGACGCCAGGTCTGCGCGCCGCGGCTGAGCGCCCACTCGCCTTGCAGAGAAACCCACGGGGGCGGCGGCGGGAGAGCTCCGCGAGAGCCGAAGGAGGTGGCAGTCGGAGCCGAACCAGGAGGAGACCGGGAGGCAGAAGGCGCGCACTCCCTCGGCCAGGGATGGGTCCCGCCGCGGCCCGGCCCCTGCCCGGCCCGCCGGGCAGAGACTGAAACGCGAACCCCCATCGTCCGGTGGTCACTGGACTGAAGGAGGCACTGACGGATCGCCAGTAGCCTCCCGGTGGGACCTTGCCTCCTGCACACCCCACGCAGCGCCCCCCGCCGGAACCACGCCGGGCAAACCGACGAGGGAGCGGGGCTGATTGGCGGCCGCCGGCGGCCAGGGGAGGGGGCGCCGTGCGGGGCCATGGCAGGCTCCGAGGCGTCCTAGCCGGAGCCGGATCGGAGCCCACGCTGCCGCCGCCGCCTCTCAGCGCCCAGGCCCCCGCCGCCGCCGCGCCCCCCGCGGGAGATGGAACAGCGGAACCGGCTCGGTGCCCTCGGATACCTGCCGCCTCTGCTGCTGCATGCCCTGCTGCTCTTCGCGGCCGACGGTGAGCGCGGGAACTCTGCTGCCGCGGTGGGCTCCGGGGTCCTTGCGGGGACCACTGCAGCCTGCCTGCACCGGCCTCCACGGAGGAGGAAGAGAAGGGGAAGGCTCCGTGGTCTCCAGCAATCCTGGGGTGCAGCCCTTGGCCCGGAGGGGTAGGGGGAGGAGAGCAGTGGAGGGTCGCCGCAGCTGCGGCGCCCGCGCCGGAGTCGTTCGGAGTCCGGCCAGGGCTCCGGTTGCGGAGAGGAGGCTGCGGGGAGCGAGAGTTGGCGTCCCCAGGCTGGCTTTGGCGCGCGGCCCCGCGCGGGGAAGAAGCATGAGCCGCCCCTATCGCCCCGCCCGATCCGGAGGAAAGCAGGCTGCAGCCGGCGGCCCCGGTGCCCGCTGCGGCCCTGCAGCTGCTCCACGGAACTTTGCTAGCGCCTCGGCCCTGGGCCACGGAGTAGCTGGGGGGTGGGAGGGCGGCACAAGGCCAGCGAGCCGGGTACAGACCACCTCGCCATGCGGTGCCCCAGGCCACTGCAGCTGGTCACGCCTCTCTCTCTCCCTCCCCACCCCGCCGCCCCCAGCTACATTCACTGAAGTCCCCAAAGATGTGACAGTACGGGAGGGAGACGACATCGAAATGCCCTGCGCGTTCCGGGCCAGCGGAGCCACCTCGTATTCGCTGGAGATTCAGTGGTGGTACCTCAAGGAGCCGCCCCGGGAGCTGCTGCACGAGCTGGCGCTCAGCGTGCCGGGCGCCCGGAGCAAGGTAACCTGCCGCCCACGCGGTGCCGGCGCACACCCGGCTCGGGCCGGGGCGGCAAGGGTTACCCCGGGAGGCAGGCAGCTGGGTTCACGGTCGCAGGGCGCCGCCGCGTGGTGCATACAGCCCATCCTCCACTCTTGCATCCTCACAGCGTCTTTAAAGTCCCTGGCTGTTACCCCCAAACCCTGTCCATTCAATGGACAGTTTCCCTTCTCCCACCTCCTCCAGGCACTCCATTCCCGCCTCTCCCCTAAAAAGCCACACCTGGTCCAGTTCCCCCTGGTCGTCTTTGCTGATTGTGAGCCCAGCTTCTAGTGGGTGCTGGGTGCTGAGAGAAGACCGCTTGGTCCCACCAGACTGTCCCCTCCGCCACTTTGGGGGTCCTCAGGGCTCCTCAAGGCTGCATCCTGAGGCCCACAGAGAACTGTGTACAGGGTTCAGGTCACCTCTGGCTCCCATAGGAACAGAGGGGCGGCCTGCCTGTAGCTGAAAACAGACTCACGCTGCCCGTTTGCCTCATAAACCACGTTCCCTTACACAAACCCTGGCAGGCGCTCCCCAGGGTCCCACCAGAGTTACTGCTCGTCTCCCACTGGGTCCTGTCCAGAGCGGCCCCTCCATCCAGTTTTCCGTGGCTCCAAGTTAGAAATTGGAGGAACGAGGCAAGAAATGAGGTTCTCCGGGAGGAGGGAGGAGAGAAGGGCCTTCCTTCCCACCCTAGTGCCAGTCCGCTCTCCCCTCTTGGGCCGGCAGGTGTGTGCTAGGGCAGGCATTCTTAGGCAGGTCACCATCCGAGTTCCAAACCCCCCTTCCTTCCGGGTAAACGCCTGTAAATTCAGGCGCCTTTTGTACCCTAACCTTGGCACCCCGGGCGGTTTTGGGAAACCCCAGTCCTCCTGCCCAGGGTCCCCTTGCCTTAAAGACGGATCTAAAGCCTGAAGGCTGCGAGACTGACGTCTCTTTCTCCCTTTTTGCATTTTAGGTAACAAATAAGGATGCAACTAAAATCAGCGTAAGTGTGGCGCCGGCATGGGCCGCGGGGGACCCCTTCCGGCCGCCTCGCGCTCCGCAGCTCCCCCACCCCCGCCCCTTTAGACAGCCGCGGCTGCCGTGCCGCGCGGGACCGAGCTCGCAGCCTGGTCTTGTCAGCTGCTTGGCGTGTCGGGGCGCCATCTGTCGCCCGTAGCAGAGCCCGGGTTCTCTTTGTGCAAATCAAGGGTTCAAGGCCTGAATCCTCTAACTCGCCTCGTGGCTTACCTGTAAAACTCCTTCGTCCAGACAGAGCTTTCAGACCCCTGCGCGCCTGCTCGCCTCCCCTCCTCGGGCCTTTCTCACCGCTCCGGGAACGCGCGCTGCTCGCGACCGGCGCTCCAGCTTCCCGCCCCCCCTCGCCCCGCCCCGCACACGCGCCCTGGCGCCCCCTCCGCCGCAGTGCTGGGTGTAGTAGACTGCGAGGGGGCAGGTCAAGGGGCTGTTGACTGGAAGGGGACGCGCACAAGCTTTCCCAGTTACAGCGTGGACGTATAAGGGCGTGGAGACGACAAAGCCTCCTTTGTGGGCCGGGTTTAGAAGTGAGGGCCCCCTGGTTGCTTAGTGAGAGCTGTGCTCAGAGAGGTCCCTTCGCGAGGTCTCCACCAGGGCGCAGGGGAAGAGCGCTTTGTCTGGGGTTTCGGGCGACCACGTGGCCAGGCGGTTCGCAGAGGGTGGCAGGGAGTCTGGTGGCAGGTTCAGCGTCGCCTGCCCCCTTCGAGGGGAGGAGGGTTAGCTGTGAAGGGCGCAGATCAGGAACCAAGTGGCTTTCCGTAGGACATGACTCAGGCCTTCCAAGTTCTAAACTAAAGAGAACGTACGTAGTGCAGGAAAGTGAGGAGCCCACCTGGGATTTCTTGAAGGTTCAGGAGGGAGGAAGGAGGGGTGGATTCTGCATTTCCTTGGGGAAAGAATTGTTTTGCGCAGACTAGAGGGACACAAGATAGGGCGTGTGGTTAAGAAGATGAGTAACTGAGGACACAATACAATGGGCAGGCGACCCGGTGTCCAAGCACCGAGGAGACAGGGTGAAAGGAAAGCTGGATCGCGATGCTGGGGTCCAGGAAGAGTTGGGGCGCCGCGCTGGCCAGTGCGAACCTGACAGCACCAGCCAGAAGGGCAGGTTTCGGAGCCGGCCCGGCCTCTAACCCTCTTCTCTTGCAGACCGTGCGCGTCCAGGGCAACGACATCTCACACCGGCTTCGGCTGTCGGCCGTGCGGCTGCAAGACGAGGGCGTGTACGAGTGCCGCGTGTCAGACTACAGCGACGACGACACGCAGGAGCACAAGGCCCAGGCGCTGCTGCGCGTGCTCTCGCGCTTCGCGCCGCCCAACATGCAAGCCGCCGAGGCCGTGTCGCACATCCAGAGCAGCGGCCCGCGTCGCCACAGTGCAGCCAGCGCGGCTAACGCCTACAACGCGGGCGCCGCGAGCCGCACCACCTCAGAGCCCGGACAGGGCGACAAGAGCCCGCCGCCTGGGAGCCCTCCTGCTGCCCTTGGCCCTGAAGTCCCTGAAGCCACCGCCGCCTCCGCAGCCCACACAGCGACCACCACTGTCGCAGCCGCTGCTGCTGCTTCGTCAGCGTCACCGCCACTGGGCCAGGCGGTCCTCCTGCGCCAGAGGCACGGATCGGGTAAGGGGGCGCGCACGCGCGAGGTTGGGAGGTGGGGACAGGGGCGGGGCCTTGGAAAACGCTGGGGCTGACTCTCAGCCGAGGAGCCGCGGGTTCTGGTCTCGTGCATATGCATACTCTACCCGGGTTAAGTCGAGTGAGCCGGGGGTGTTCGACCCAGCGCGCTTTCTACCTGCTGCTTTCCTGTGGTCACTGTTGGTCTTGGAAGGTTCATGATGTGTACTTGTGAATATGGGGGCCGCCCCCAGTACACTCGAGGTTGGGGTGTGGCCGGAAGACCTCTCTTGGTTGTCTCTTGGACCCTAAGGGCTGAGCTCTGACGCTGAGAGTGGGCCAGCTTCACTTTGCAACCCTCAGTCTTGGGGAGAGACTATCCCCAGGTGGCATCTGGTGGAGGATGGCGACGCCTTGACAATGCTATGTGGCTCTGTGTGGGTTGCTGTGGGCTTGGCTTCGTTGAACAGACAGGCTTTGTCCACGCTGGTGTAGATGGACATGGCTGTTTGGCCCCTGCTCTTTGGCTAAGGGCAGTAAGGTCCTTGGCACCTGCTATAAATCATAACTCCAGCAACTGTCTTTGCTGGGGGACCTAAGCCATACTTAGGAGGGTATCCAGAGGTTAGGCCTGCTTTCCTAGGGAGGCAAGAGGCTGGGCAGTGGGGAATTGGGGGAAGGATATGGGAAAGCAGAAGGTGAAGGAAATGGCCTGACCGGCCCCAGGCAGCTCTGGGGTGGGGGTTTTAGAGGGTGGAAAGGCCTCTTGCCCAGTGTGCCCCTCCTCCTGAGACACCTCCCACCCCTCTGTCACTCAGAGATGCGCCTAGCTCCAGTGCTTACTCAGAGTGTCTGATTTTCAGCAGGTTGCTACCTCTCTGAACTCTCCCCTTTGTTGGGTTTGAAGCAGACTCCCACAGACGGCATCTCTCTTGGCCTTACAGTACTGGGGGGCTTCACTCTGGGACAGTTGCATGTGAGGCCTCCCAGATGTGGGGAGCGCACTGCCGCACTCCTACACTAGTAGATCTCAGACTGCTGCCTGGGGAGGTGTGGGCGCCTGGGCTAGCCTGCTGAATCCCAGGTGACAGGCCTTCCTATTACTGTGTTACCCTCCCCCACCCCCCACCTGGCTGATTCTCAAGGCCTCCAACAGCTGAGACCCACCTGTCTGTCCTACACACCTGTTCAGTTCTGCTTTTCACTTATGCCCACTGTGGGGACCTTGTCATGTGTGTCCAGCTAAGGGCTGGAACTGGAGGCCCCACAAGACTTTCCCTCAGGCTATAGGAAAGGTAGGTCAGCTGGAACCTGTCAGATATCTCCCTCCCAAACAGCCACAGGCTCCCCTACCTGGCTCAGAACTTTCCACTCCCATATTAATTTAAGACAATGCTAGATGCTATGACAAATAAACCCCAAAATGTCAGTGGCTTGACACAATTCAAATTTATGCTTGTCCACATCAAATTCTGCCCTGGAGGGCCAGGCGCAGTGTGTCACACCTGTAATCCTAGCACTCTGGGAGGCCAAGGTGAGTGGATCACCTGAGCTCACAGGCTTGAGACCAGCCTGAGCCAGAGTGAGACCTCGTCTCTAAAAATAGCCAGGAGTTGTGGTGAGAGAATTGCTTTGGCCCAAGAGCTTGAGGTTGTTGTGAGCTATGACGCCACGGCACTCTACTCAAGGCAATAAAATGCGAGTCTGGCTCCAAAAAACAAACAAAACAAAGTTCTGCCATGCTGGGCAGCATGGTGGCTGTCGTCCATGCATTAATTCAGGGATCCAGGTTGACAGACACTCATTCAGCTTCAACAAGTGCCCTCCAAAGTCACTCTAGGAATCAACATATAAGCAAGGGATGGAAGCCGCCCTTCTCACCCCAGTTCCCTGAGAGAGTAAGAATGCTCCAGAGTATGCAATTCTGAACCATTTTCTTTCTTATGCATTTATAATAACCCTACATATGTATGCATCATTGCTGGGAGATTGAGAAAATAGCCACACAGACCACTTTGGAGGAGCTTAATTCTCTTGGAGAAAAGCTGGTGGAGAGAATGGCAAGGCTGGTTTTTAAGGCCGAGACGTGGTAAATATGCCTCTGCCTTCATCCACTGACCAAAGCTCAGTCACGAGGTCTAACACATATGCGTGGCAGGCTACAAAATGTAGGCATGGGAGTGGCGCCTGCATTCAGCCTCCTCTCTTCACAGTAGAAGGGGTGTCAGCCCTCTGAGTGCAGCACACAACTCAGTAGGTATGCTAGGAGCGTGCTTCTGAGCAACTGGCTTAATTTATTAATGGCTGGTGAGGACCCTTCCACCCTATCTCTTGAGCCCCAGCAAGTAAACGTGTGTCACAGGGGGGAATATACCTGTGGAATGTTCTCTAGACCATGAGTAGAATGGCAAGGTGGAAGCCTAGATGAGAGTGCGTCTATACCACTTACCAGCTGTGTGTCTTTGGGCAAGTGAGTTAACATCTCTGAGCCATCTGTAAAACTAACAGGGTAATCCCTGACCACAGAGGGAGCTTGGTATGGAAACTGTTGTGCATATATGTTCTTTATTCTCACCATGGCCATTACTGTTCTGTCTGAAAAGGAGGGGGCTAGAGAAAATAAAACTGGTATTTGGAAGCCAACCATAGGGGGGCCTTAAAGGCCAAGGGAAATCGGGTCCGATTAAAGGATTTGGGCAAGGAAGACCCATGAGAGAGAGACTTTTGATAGTGAACTTGACAGTTTCCACAAAATGATAATGAGGCCAAGGTCATGAGCTCATCCTTGCTTGAATCTCCCTCTTCCCTTGGCCAGAGCCCAACCCCTGAGCACGAGCTAAGCTGACCCGACTGCCTGGCATAGCCAGCCAGATCGCCAGTCTCTGTGCTGGCCATAGGGGAGAGTAAGAGAGGGCCTATCTGAGGGCATTTCACCCTCACAGCAGGAAACCCATCCTAGAAAGTGGGATGGACAATGGAGATGTGAAGGTCCTCAGGTCAGCCGAATTCTGATGGCACGGTGCCCAGGGCCATCCCAGCAGGACACATCCTAGCCTCAGCACAGAAGGTTAATGCCCATGTAGCTCAGAGAAGCAGCCAAGAGTGAGGGCTCCTCTCTGCCTTCTCTGGAGTGGGGGGCAGTGTTCGCTGTCACCCAGAATGGACAGGCAGCTGCCATCCAGCAGAGCTCACAGGGCAATGCCACTGGGATAGGGGCATGGTGACCACTGAGATCTCTGTCACCCAGTAACCTTTGCTAGGTCCTGAACAGGAACTGTGTAGACACCTCAGAGAATGCCTCAAGTCTCTAACCCTCCTTTGGAATGTCCGCAAGGCCGATATCCATGTCCCCCGCTCCAGGGAGCACTCTTAGGAAAGTTACTTCTCTGTGGCACCTGTGTCCCACTCTGGGCATGGAGAAGGGGGTTACTGACCTCCAGTTCACAAGCACGCCCTAATGGCCTAATCCCAAGGAGAATATGATGCCCGGTTTTGTGTCCCATCTTTTTTTTTTTTGAGACGGAGCCTCAAGCTATCCCCCTGGGTAGAGTGCCATGGCATCACGCTCACAGCAACCTCCAACTCCTGGGCTCAAGTGAGTCTTCTGCCTCAGCCTCCCAAGTAGCTGGGACTACATGCACCCGCCACAACGCCTGGCAATTTTTTGGTTGCAGCCGTCATTGTTGTTTGGCGGGCCCAGGCTGGGGATTCGAACCCGCCACCTTAGGTGTATGTGGCTGGTGCCTTAGCCGCTTGAGCCACAGGCGCCGAGCCTTTGTGTCCCATCTTGCTTTAGCCACCCAAGGCCACCCCGGCTGTGGGCTGTCAGTGGAGTGAGGCCTGCAGGCCTATTGGGCATGAATAGCTTTCCTGTAGGGCACATCACCGAGCAGTTCCCTGAGCTCGCCTGCCAGCACTGGGGCCCACCGAGCCTCCCTGGAGGCGGCAGGCCAGACCATTGAGTCATCAGCAGTGGGAGCTGGGGAGGGAGCTCGAGGCAGGAAGCTTTGGGCCTGGCGTCCTCACCTCGAGGTTCTCAGCAGCTTGGTGGGGAGGCCTGCAGAAAGGACTGTTGCCTCTTGAATAACAGGCAGGAGTGTTTGCAGAGTGTGTCGGTCTGGGTGCTGGCAGAGGAAGATGGCACATTCAAAGAGGGTCGCTGAGGGGAGTTGCTAGAAAATATTTATGAAGGTGTGGACAAGACCAGGGCAGCAGTAGAGGGTGAGTGTAGGTCCCTGGCTGGCAGTAGCAGGAGCCATTAGCACCCCCAGGCTACAGGAGCAAGGGAAGGAGCAATTAGCAGAACCCAGAGAGGGCAGCTAGATGAGAGGGCTGCCTGACAGGTGGCCTCGGTGGGGGACGCAGCCAGCCTCCAGTGACCTCACAAGGACATCACTCTTCTCCTGCCTTCTGTTCCTGGCAGGGCCCTAACCTCCATTCCCAGTGGCCAAACCCTCCCTTGAGCTGAGGGTGGGGCTCTGGGTGATGCAGTCTATGAAGGACAGCCCCTAGGGTCTCCGAGCAGAGTGGAGAGGGCAGTGGGCTGGGGGAGCTACATATTCTATTCCCAGGCCTGGGTCTAGGGAATGGATTCTGGCTGTTTCAGACTGGTGACTTCTAGGGTGGTTCCCAGCCCATCTCACCAGACAGTCCCCTGTTAAGCTATTGCTCCTGCAAGAAAGTCAGAAGGGAGTCTCGTTTTTATTTTTAAGTGAGACCTTAGTAATGCCGGGGCGGGGGGGGGGGCCTTACTCCATTTAGCTTCTACATAGCCAAGCAAGCAAACCCTTCCGGTACCCCATATGTGCCCAATTCAGCCAAATACATATTTGCACTAAAAGTTTATGTGCAAAAACTCGTTCATTTCACATCTCATTTGTCAGGAGACATTTTGGTATTTGTGCTTAAAAATAAGCATGGACTGGACTAGCAAAGGCAGAGTGGACACAGGGGTCCAGGCCCCTTCTAGCCACGTGTGCAACTCTGGCTCCTAATTAATCTGAACA